GCCAGCAGGTTTTGCAGAGTTTGTAAACGGGGATGACCAGGCTCTCCATGTGGTCGGCACGGTTCAGTGCTGCCCATTCGCCTTGATTCACAATAACATTTGTCTAAACTCCTTTTTAGTGTAATTATTTTAGTGCTGACATTCTACTTGATGCCTTGAGTTGAAGCAAGAGAGTGAAATGACTTTTTTAAATGTATTTTTAAAAAATATATTTAAAGACACTGGGCAGCTGTGGCGCACACCTTTAATCCCAGCACTCGGGAGGCAGAGCCTGGTGGATCTCTGTGAGTTTGAGGACTGGTCTACAGAATGAGAGCCAGGATAGGCACCAAAACTACACAGAGAAACCCTGTCTCAAAAAACAAAACAAAACAAAAATTATTTAAAGGCAATTTATAGCAAGCCAATAGTCAACATCAAATTAAATTCCACTAAAATCAAAATCAGGAACAAGACAAGGCTATCCACTCTCTTCATATCAATTCAATATAGTACTTGAAGTTCTAGCTAGAGCAATAAGACAACAAAAGGAGATTAAGGGATACAAGTTGGAAAGGAAGAAGTCAAACTTTCCCTATTTACAGAGGATATGATAGTATACATAAGTGACTCCAAAAATTCTACCAGGGAACTCCTACAGCTGAATAAACACCTTCAGTAATGTGGCAGGATACAAGATTAACTCAAAAGATTCAGTAGCCCTCCTATATATAAATGATAAATGGGCCAAGAAAGAAATCAGAGAAATATCACCCTTTACAATAGCCACAAATAATATAAAATGCCTTGGGGTAACTCTAACCAAGCAAGTGAAAGACCTGTATGACAAGAACTTTAAATCTTTGAAGAAAGAAATTGATGAAGATATCAGAACATGGTAAGATCTCCCATGTTCATGGTTAGGTAGGATTAACATAGTAAAAATGGCAATCTTACCAAAAGCAATCTACAGATTCAGTGCAATCCCCATCAAAATCCCAACACAGTTCTTCACAGACCTTGAAAGAACAATACTCAACTTCATATGGGAAACCAAAAAAATCTAGGATAGATTAAGCAACCCTGTACAATAAAAGAACCTCAGGAGGCAATGGGCTGGAGAACTCTGCTCGATCCACCTCCAGCGTCCAGGATCCAGGAACCAAGAGCGCTGGCCCATCCAGATCCCAGGTCTTCAGGGGTCCTCTCTCGGCTCCACCTTGTAGGCGTGACTGTTACCGAAGCCTTAAAGGGGGTGGTACTTCCTGGTCAAAGCTGGAATGGCTATTCACTACACAATGGGACCTCCTGAAACTGAAAAGCTTCTCTAAGGCAAAGGACACGGTCAATAAGACAAAATGCCACCCTACAGAATGGGAAAAGATCTTCACAAATCCCACATCTGACAGAAGGCTGATCTCCAAAATATATAAAGAACTCAAGAAACTGGACATTAAAATACCAAATAATCCAATTAAAAAATGGGTTACAGATCTAAACAGAGAATTCTCAACAGAAGAATCTCAAATGGCTGAAATACACTTAAAGGATTGTTGAACATCCTTAGCATCAGGGAAATGCAAATCAAAACTACTCCAAGATACCATCTTACACCTGTCAGAATGGCCAAGATCAAAACCACTGAGGACAGATTTATGTTGGAGAAGATGTGGAGTAAGGGAAACACTCCTCCACTACTGGTGGGAGTGCAAATTTCTACAGCCATTTTGGAAAGCAGTACGGTGGCTTCTCAGAAAATTGGGAATCAATCTACCTCAAGACCCAAGGATACCACTCTTGGGCATATACCTAAAGGATGCTCAATCATACCACAAGGACACTTGCTCAACTGTGTTCATAGCAGCATTATTAGTAATAGCCAGAACCTGGAAACAACCTAGATGCCCTTCAACTGGAGAATGGATAAAGAAAATGTGGTACATATACACAATGGAGTATTACTCAGCTGTTAAAAACAATGACATCATGACATCTGCAGGCAAATGGATGGAACTAGAAAAAATCATCCTGAGTGAGGTAACCTAGACTTAGAAAGACAAACATAGTATGTACTCACTTGTAAGTGGATACTAGATGCTTTAAAGCCAAGAATAATCAGACTACAACCCACAGCTCCAGAGAAGCTAGGTAACAAGGAAGACCCTAAGAGGGATGCATGGATCATCCTGGGAAGGGGAAATTGTGGTGATATTTTATTTGTGCATCCTAGTAAAGCTTATCTGAAGATCAGAGGAAAAAGCCCACCACTATATTAAACACAGAAATCAGGCAATCGTAGCACATGCCTTTAATCCTGGCATTCGAGTGGCAGAGATCTATCTGGATCTCTGGGGGGAACAGAGCCAGGCATGGTTACATGTCTTTTTTTGTTTGCTTGTTTTTGTTTTTTTTGTTTTTTGTTTTTTTCCAAGACAGGGTTTCTCTGTGTAGTTTTGGTCCTGGATCTTGCTCTGTAGACTTACAGAGATCCACCTGGCTCTGCCTCTCCAGTGCTGGGATTAAAGGTGTGCACCACTACCGCCTGACCAACACATGCCTTTAATTCCAGTACTAACCATAGAGGTCTGGAGGTCTATACAGACAGACCAGAAGTGATGTAACTGGGTGGAAAGAGGAAGTGAGATGCAGAACAGAAAGGCATATAGGCATGGGCATACAGGAAGTAAGTCTCTTTGGCTGAGGATTTCCAAGTATTAAGAACATGCCGCCGGGCGGTGGTGGCGCACGCCTTTAATCCCAGCACTCGGGAGGCAGAGGCAGGTGGATCTCTGTGAGTTCGAGGCCAGCCTGGTCTACCAAGTGAGTTCCAGGAAAGGCGCAAAGCTACACAGAGAAACCCTGTCTTGAAAAAAAGAAAAAAAAAAAAAAAAAGAAAAAAAGAAAAAAAAAAAAGAACATGCCTGGCTTCTTTCTACTTCTCTGATCTCTCAGATTTTACCCCAGTGTCTGGCTCAGTGATTAGTTGATTCCATGGGCTGTGTTCTTGTAGTATCCTTGACCCCTTTAGCTCCTACAGCTCTTCCTTCCCCTCTTCTGTGGGGTTCTCTGCGCTCCACCTAATGTTTATATCTGGGTCTCTGCATCTTCTATCAGTTGCTGGATAAAGCCTCTCTGATGACATTTGGGCTAGGCTCCAGTGTGAGTATAGCAGAATATCATTAGAAATAATTTCATTGAATTTTTTTTCTGCCAGTTGTGTTGGTTCTATCCTAGGTCTCTGGGCTGTCCAGCCTCTGGTTTCTGGCCCTCCAGACAGTGTCAGGGTGGGCTTCCTTTTGTGGCATGGGTCTCAAGTTGGACCAGTCATTGGTTGGCCACTCCCACAAGTTCTGTGCCACCTTTACTTCAGCACATTTTGGAGGTTGAAGGTTGTTGAAGGTTTTGAGGCTGGATTGGTGACCCAGTCCCTCCACCAGGAAGCCTTGCCTGGTTACAGAAGATGACTGGTTCAGACTGCATATCAACCTAATAGGAGTCTTCACCTTATAGATTCCAGGGTGTTTCCATTGCAGTAGGTTTCCACCTCTCCCCCAAATGCCCCCTGGTTCCAGTCTCTCCTAGTACTCTCTCCCTCCACCCCTACCTGATCCCTCCTGTTCCCCTCCTCACTGTCCCTTGTCCACCAGTAAAATCTGTTCTATTTCCCCTTCCAAGGGAGATGCATGCATTTTCCACTTGAGCCCTGCTTGTTTCTTAGCCTCTCTGGGGCTGTGGATTGTAGTATGATTATCCTTTACTTTATAGCTAATATTTACTTATGAGTACATACCATGTTTATCTTTCTGGGTCTGGGTTACCTCACTCAAGATGTTTTTTTTTTTTCCTAGTTCCATCCATTTGCCTGCAAATTTCATGATGCCATTTTTTTAAAACAGCTGACTTAATACTCCATTATGTAAATATATCACATTTTCTTGGTCTGTTCTTCGGTTGAGGGTCATCTAGGTTGTTTCTAGTTTCTGGCTATTATTAATAAAGCTGCTATGAACATAGTTGAACAAGTGTCCTTGTTGTAGAATGGAGTGTCCTTTGGGTATATGCCCAGGAATGGGATAGCTGTATCCTGAGGTAGATTAGATTCCCAGTTTTTCTGAGAAACTGCCATATTGATTTCCAAAGTGGCTGTACAAGTTTTCACTCCCACCAGCAATGGAGGAGTGTACCCCTTGCTCCACATCCTCGCCAGCATGAGCTGTCACTTGTATTTTGATCTTAGTCATTCTGACTGGTATAAGATGGAATCTCAGAGTCGTTTTGATTTGCATTTCCCTGATGACTAAACATGTTGAACATTTCAAGTGTTTCTCAGCCATTTGAGATTCCACTGTTGAGAATTCTCTGTTTAGATCTGTACTCCTTTTTTAATTGGATTATTTGGTCTTTTGATGTCTAGTTTCTTGAGTTCTTTATATATTTTGGCTATTAGTCCTCTTTCAAATATGGGGTTGGTGAAGATCTTTTCTCATTCTGAAGGCTGCTATTTTGTCCTATTGACAGTGTCCTTTACCTTACAGAAGCTTTTCAGTTTCGTGAGGTTTCCTTTATTAATTGTCAATCTTAGTTGTCTGTGCTATTGTATGGAAGTTGTCTACTGTGCTAGTGCATTCAAGGCTGTTTCCTCTTTCTCTTTGATCAGGTTCATTGTAACTGGATTTATGCTGAGGTCTTAGATCCACTTGGACTTGAGTTTTGTGCAGTGTGATAGATGTGGTTCTATTTGCATTCTTCTACATACTGACATCCACTTAGACCAGCACCACTTGTTGAAGCTGCTATCTTTTTTTCCATTGTGTATTTCTGGCTGCTTCATCAAAAATTAGGTGTCCATGGGTGTGTGGATTTACGTCTGGGTCATTGATTTTACTCCATTGATCAACCTGGGAATGACTGGTTTTATCGGATCCCTGGGACTTGACAGGTGACGCGGGCTGCAGGCTTTTTCCAGCACAGGCACTTTCATCCACTTGGGAGAAGTTGACTGGTTATCTTTTTGTTTTTAGGGTTTGTTATCTCATGTACTTTCTGCATTCAGATTCGACATGAAAGAAATTAGTCTTTTTCCTGAAAGTCTCGGATATGAGTCTGTTGATTACTATCCTAGTTTGCTTAAAAATGTGAGTATCTTACCTTTTTTGTATTGAAATTCTCACCAGTTGTGTGAAGGGTAAATGAGACGTTTTCCTCTTTCAGGGAGTCATTGAACTTTGTCTATTTCTTACCTGGTGGGTAGACTTGCGACCATGGAAGGAAGATGTGAGGTGCTATTGGACTCTCACAACACATCTCACTCACTCAAAGATTTCTGAGAAGAACAGCCTTTAACCAGTATAAACATAGCCTGGACTTCTGAGCAGATATCATATCTAAAAATAGCCTGATTGAATTTTATGTTGAAGCAAAGCAGAAAGTTAACTTAAGGGATGGCATGGTGGCCCAGTGGGCAGAAGTGCTTGCCATGAAAACATGGTGACCTGAGTCAGACCCTCAGTTCTCATGTAAAGGTGGAAGAGTTATCTTCTGGCTTCCATCTAGGCACTGTGGCATATGCACCCACCCACACACATTATACTCTTCTGAAAATGAGATCTTTGATGGTTATTAGCCATTTTGATGTTTTGGAAGTCATACACTGAAAAGCACTTTTTAAAAAAGCAGCTAAAAAAAGAAGAAAATAAGTAAACTCCAGTATTTTTTAATTTTCTGTGGGTTTGGTGTTAATTCTAAGACATTGATGACTGTTGCTTCTGTAGAATCCTGGACATTCAGTGTAGAGACCCACATGACAGTCAGTGTGATGTGATGTTGCTTCCTCTCACTCTGCAAAGTAAAACACAAGGAGAGAGTGGGGAGGAAATGGTGAGGGATGTGTTACTCACAGCAAGAGAAATGGAGCTGAGGTAATCGTGTTGCAGTGTGAGTTGACCTGTGTCTGATTTTGTTTTACAGATGGTTTTGTCATTAGTGTCTGAGCTCAGAGAGAGTCATCTTAATGGATTGAACACTCAAAGTCGGTAGGTGTTAAGCCAGATATCCCTCTGCTCACGTTTCAGAAGGTGTTGCTTGGTTATGAGAGAAAGGTTCACTAACTATGGGAAGTACATGTTCATGGTGTACTTAGAGTCTGTGTGGAGAAAGTATATTAGTGGGAAGTTCTTTTAATTATTCTCTTTTAAAGTCACTCTTCTCTCAGCAGTCATGGGGAAGTTAAGTATGAAATGCCTTTGGTGGACATAGTAGGAAAAAGCCTGCCTGTACGGGAAGGGGCACAAAGGAAAATGAGCCTGAGCCCCTGCAAGAGGAGAGTGAGCACACTCTTGTGCTCATCTGCTTCACTGAGCTGCCCCCCTGTGTGTGTTGAGGTGTACACCTTAAACTTGATTGGGATATTTACAAGGCAACAGATATTTTGATGTGCATATATGACCTACCTTAAGAAACTCAATATTCTAGAATCTAGACTAAACAAATCAGATAGATTCAGAGAAATTAAAAGGCAATTAATCACATCACAGATGTTTCTTCACTCTGTGAGCAAAGTTGGAACTGTTTTCATTGGTGAGCACTGTATTTTTAACAAATCATTAACCAAAAGACTCTGGGCACTTGGCAGACTTTGTTCCAAACTTTTTTTTAAAGCTTTTGCCAGCCAGAGCTCTATCAAAACTGGTGTTTGCCTTCAGCCTTTGAGTACATTGCAAGTCAGTGTCACAACTCTTAGAGGAAAACACTGTCAAAGGTCTTGGCAACACTGGGTTTGATTTTTTCCCCCGAGATATGACACCCAAAGTTTAAGCAACAAAGAAAAATAAATTGAAGAGCTGGAGAGGTGTCTCAGTGGGTAAAGCACTTGCTGTGTAAGCCTTGTGACCCGAGGTCAGCTTCAGAACTCGTGAAGGTGGGAAGAGAGGAACAATTCCACAGAGTTGTCCTCTGATCTCACACATGCAATATGGCACATGCCCTGTGGCACATAAACCCTCTCAGACGTGATGCTTGCAAATAATAATAATTATAATTATTATTATTATTATTATTATAAATATAGTGTTTTTTTTTTTTTTTTTTTTTTGGTTTTTCGAGACAGGGTTTCTCTGTGTAGCTTTGAGCCTTTCCTGGAACTCACTTGGTAGCCCAGGCTGGCCTCGAACTCATGGAGATCCGCCTGTCTCTGCCTCCCGAGTGCTGGGATTAAAGGCATGTGCCACCACCGCCCGGCAAATATAGATTTTTTTAAAGAAAAAATTAAACTTTATTAAAATTAAGAATTTGGGAGCTTGGTAGCTCAGTGGTAGAACACTTGATTGGTGTATGTAAGGCCCTTGGATTCAACCCTTGAAACTATAAAATAGGAACTTTTGTGAATCAAATGATACTACCAAGAAAGCAAAATAAATACTGTAGAGAATGCCTACAGAATGAGTAAAAACTTTTGTATGTTTTTACTTTTTTAGTTTTTCAGGACAGGGTTTCTCAGTGTAGGCCTGGCTGTCTTAGAACTTGCTCTATAGACCAGGCTGTCCTTGAACTCACAGAGACCCTACTTCCTCTGCCTCTGGATTGCTGGGATTAAAGATGTGTGCTACCACTACCTGGCCAAGTTTTTAGTTTTAAACTTTAATCTTTTATAAGTTTTTTTTTTTTTAATCTCTTGAGATGGCCATATTGCACATGCCTGTAAACCTTCATTTGGCAGTCTGAGGAATGAGGATCATGAGTTTGAAGTCAACTTGGACTTTTTGGGGGGGTGAGGAGTGGGTTGAGATAGGATCTCACTCTGTAGACCAGGTTAACCTCAAACTCACAGAGATCTGCTTGCCTCTGTGTCCCAAGTGCTGGGACTAAAGGCATGCACTACCATGCCCAGCCCCCTGCTTGGAACTTCTTAATAAACTTGAAGCCAGCCTGGGCTACATAGTGAGTCTTTGTCTAAAGAAATAAAAGCTCTTCATAAGGAACCAGTGTCTGAAATGTCTAGAAACTCTTAAACAACAGCACTAAACACCCAGAACTGGGCAGATGCTGGAGACATATCTCAGTGGCAGAGGGCTGTGTTCTAACATCTTATATGCACCAGGCTCTGGGTTCAAACAAAGGAAAAACAAAACAGGCAAAAGACTCAGCTTGACTAGGCATTCTACCAGAGAAATATACACCTGGTGAAATAGGGCATGGCACACAATTGTAATCCCAGAACTTGGGAACTGAGGACAGGAGGACCAGAAGGTCAATGAGGTCATCCTCAGATACAAATCAAGTTGGAGATCCTATCTCTGAAAACTAAAATAAAACAAACAAGCAAAACACCTATTAAGCAAATGAAAAGGCATTCAACAACACACCCACTAGGGAGCATGTAAGCCAGAACTCCAATGAAGGAAGTATTAATACCCACCATAATGACTATAAAAAGAAAGAAAAGGAAAACCCAAAGTGTGATGAGTAGAAACTGGAGTCCTGTGTGTTGCTGGTATAGTATAAAATGGAGCAGCCACAGTGGAAAACAAATTGGTGTTTCTAGAAGAATTAAACAGAATTGTGGTGTGACACAGAAAATTCACTGCAAGGTGTATTTCTCCTCTACTTTCTTTTGTTGTGATAAAACACTCTGATCAAAAGCAACTTAGGGAGAAAAGGGCTTATTTGACTTCCAGGTCAGTCAATCGCTGAGGATGAAGTCAAAGTAGGAGCTTAAGCATGAAGTTGGAGCAGACATTATGAAGGAACACTGCTTGTTGGCTTGCTCTCAAGATCCTGCATATGGAGTATATTCTTATGCATATTTTTATGCAGCCAGGATCATCTGCATAGCGAAGGTACTACCTACAGTAGGCTAGGCCCCTAATATCAATTAGCATCCAAGACATCTCTCACAGACATCCCTACAGGCTAGTCTGATTTGGGTAATCCTTAATTGGGACTCCTTTCTCAGGTGACTTTTAAGTTGTGTCAAGATGGCTAAAGTTAAGTAGGAAATTATCCTAAAATAATTATAACATGTCTCTATACCAATCTTGTTCATTAACTACAGTTAATAAGCAAAGTGTGTTTATATTACATGGAGTGTAAGTCGGATGTAAAGAGAAACAGAAGTTTTATGTATGTATCAGCATGAGTAGACCATGTAAACATGCTTAGTAAAACCAGTCTAACACAGAAGCAAATGTTTTTATTCCACTTATATGAAGTCCTAGAATAGGTAGATTCATTGGGACAGAGGGCAGACCAGAGATGGGGAGAGAAAGGGAAATTATGTTTAATATGTTCAGTTTGTTAGGGACAATGAAAACCTTTGCATAAGTAATAGTGGTGAGAAGACAGCATGTGAACATATTTAGTGTTAGTCACTGCCTATATGTGGTTAAATGATAACTCATTTATGTTTTACTGCAATTAGAAAACTAAAGAAAAAGGTGCCACTGCACACTCCAAGTGTGTAAAGTTTACAACACGCACTTTAATGTATTAGGTGTGGATTCTATACACTGACCATGAGTGTGTGAGCCAGTACCACGACATTGGTAAACAATGTAGTAGCTTATTACTGAGTGTGGAAAACGTTCCAAATGGCTCAGTGGGATAAGAGCATTTGTTGCTAACCTTTGTGACATGAGTCCATCTCTAGGACCAGGATGGAAGTGGCAGGGATATAAGCAAATCATTGCAGAAGAGACAAGTGAATGGAACTATAAACATGAAATGTATAGCAAAGGCATGATTTCAGAAGATTGGCACAGTAGAAAGCCCCAGATGTCACTCTTCCACTGCCTGTCTAGGACACAAAGGACAAAGAGCTGAACCAGCTTGTCCCAGTACCAGAGATTCTGCAGTACTGAATACAGACACCAGAGGGAGAAAAAGATCACTGCTCATGAAACTAAAATGGAGAAGACATTCTTCTTCACTGCATAAAGTGAGCACAACAGGAACTCAGAAGATTGTCCATATCAGTGATACAGTAAGAGCAAACTGTATGCTCTCTACAAGAGTCTCACCTTATTGGTTATTTTGCTTTTATAATAATTTTAAACTAATTTAATCAGGCTTACTTTCCTTTAAAAATTTGAGTGTATTTATTTATTTGTTTGAGTATATTTTCTACTCATATACTTTAGACCTGCTTAGATAGTGACCCAGAGATTATTCATAACTTATCATTTTAAAGCTTTATTTTGACAAGGTCTCATGTATCTGATGCTGGCCTCAAACTCTCTATGTAGCCAGGATGACAGTGAATTTGTCTCTACTCCTTGGTACTGGGATGTCATGTGCATACCACTGTGCTGGCTAATCTTATGTTAACTTGACACAAGCTACAGTCACCTGAAAGGAGGGAAACTCAATTGAGAAAATTCCTCCCTAAGATCAAGCTATAAGGCATTTTCTAAGTTAGTGATTGATTGGAAAGAGCTCAGTCCATTGTGGGTGGTACCACCCCTGGGCTGGTGGTCTTGGATTCTGTAAGAAAACAGGCTGAGCAAGCCAGTAAGCAGCATCCCTCAATGGCCTCTGCTTCAGCTCCTGCTTCCAGGTTCCTACCCTATTTGAGTTCCTGTCCTGACTTCCTTCTGTGATGAACAGCAATATGGAAATGTAAACCAAATAAACCCTTCCCCAACTTGATTTTTGGTCATGGTGTTTTGTCACAGCAATAGAAACCTTAACTAAGACAACTGCCATACCCAGCTTATATGGTGCTGGAGATCAAAGCCAGGGCTTGTTGCATCTAGATAAGCACTCTACCTACTACACCACATCCTCAGGCCAGGATCTCATTGTAGATACAGGAACATACAGGGACTGAAAATGAAAGGATGGTTGCCAAAAGACAGCAAAAGTAGCCATATGTGTGTGTGTGTGTGTGTGTATGTGTGTGTGTGTGTGTGTGTGTGTGTGTGTGTGTGTGTGTGTGTGTGTGTGTGTTACAAGAGACAAAGGATATTACAGAAGGATAAAAGGATCAGTTCACCAGAGATTTAAGTTATAAACATTTGTATTTAGAACAGAATGCCAC